AACATATCCACGCTCATCTTCAGACTTTAATCATCTTTTCAGGTCCTTGTGTTCCATCAATGGCCCGGACCTTGTTAATTGCCTTTTAAACCACCCTGGGTTCTATAAATTCCCTCATTCAGATGGAAACTGGCGTGAAGAAAGGAGCACCCTTTCAGAGACACGCAGCCAGTGCAATTTATTTCGTCCTCCATTTCTCTCACTGCCAGCGAGCCAATGCCGACTCCCAGGATCCTGTAGGCAGAATAGAACCGCCCCTGTGGGTTTCTGAGGCTAACTCTTTACATGAGTAGAGAACCTCAGCTTCTCCCGCAGAGTGGCCAGGTGTTTCTTCCTAGTCCCTCTTAGTCTGGAGGCTCCACTGACACCTGTTCAGCATCACCGCCGCACACGAGCCTCCTCCGCCAGGTGGGCCACGAGGGACACTGGCTGCGATTGAATCCACATGTGTCTGCATGGAGGCTGAGAATCCTGTGGCTGACCTGACTTGTCTTCTTCCTGCTCACTGGCATGTCCTGTACACCAGGACCCCTAGGAGGGCAGATGTCCTTGCCCATGGCCACGTGGACTCTTAGAGGCCAGCCTGCAGGCGACTCCTTTTCTTCTGTTAAAGGCCTCCGACAGCACACAGGCTGTTCCTCTGGCTCCATTTCGCCCATGCCCTCTTCGTGAGGTCTAATGCCGCAAGCGTAGCTCACCTAGTGGTGTATGTATCAGTTGGCCGGCTAAGCACCAGGCCAGCCGTTGAGACCACCACCCACTCTGCACAAGAATCCCCCAGGGGAATCTTTGATCACATAGGTACATTTAGGAAGCAGTCCTTCTGGCCTCAAGGTCAAGGACTCAGTTTTCCCAGACACAGTGCTGCACACATGTTCTCCTACCCCGGACCCTCCTTCTTCCAAAGGAATGAAGGCCAGTTGGTGTGGGCTCAACGACTTCTGAGCTCCCGAGCTCTCCCACGCTCTCCCTCCACAGGGGGACAAACAACGCAAGCATGGACGTAAGGAGACCGCGGGCGGTGCAAGCTATGAAAATAATTGTAATTTGTAATTTATCAGGGGCCCATGAGGGTGGGAGGGTTGGGGAGAGAGGGAAAAAAAGGAGCTGATACCAAGGGCTCAAGCAGAAAGAAAATGTTTTGAAACTGACGCTGGCAACATATGTACACATGTTTTTGATACAATTGCTGTGCAGATTGTTATCAGAGCTGTAAGAACCCCCAATCAAGTGATTTATTAATTTAAAAAAAAAAAGGAAGAAAGGAACTAGAGGCCTGAAGCGTGCAACAGGCCAATTAACTGGGTGTCCCAGAAACTGCGACCTCACACTTCAAGTCAGTAGCCCAATCCCGTGAGTTATTTTATTTTTATTGTTGTGTGTCACCTGCCACAGCACTACTCTTCCTGTTTTGGCTGTAGCCCTTTGGACCCCACCTTTAAGTCATCCTCCGCCTGACCCCTCGCTCTAGCATCAGCCTTTCGGGGTCCGGGGAGAGAGGGGAGGCTTTCTCATCTTGTGCCCTGCAAGGGCAGTTTCACTCTGACCACTAGGGGCTCTGTGAGTTGGCATCCCGCCTTGATGGCAGTGGTTTGGAGATAATATCTGGTATTAGAGAGACAGGTTGCATTGTTGGATTGAGTGAGAAAGGTATTTCCGTGTCCCCATTCAGATGAGGAAGGACAGGGTGACGTCCGTCTTCCAGTCTTGCCCTTGGAAGGAGGGCAGGATGCCAACGATGCCTTCCCTGCCAGCAGTCTTCTCCTGGAGTGATGAGTGGCTGTAGCCCTGGGCTGGTGGCTAAACCATTGTGGCCCCGGCTCTCTGCGCAGTGCTTCTGTGCCACTGGCCCTTCCCTTCGTCCTGGTGGGATGGCTGTTTCTGCATCAGCAAGCCTGTGTGCAC